AAAAATAACTCGATTCGAAAAGACGATAAAATAAATTAAACCGAACAATATATATATATATATATATATTACACACAATATTTTTTTTTTTTACAAAATAAGCAATTAAACAATTAGACATTTAATAGGAATAATAATAATAATAATAATAATAATAATAATAATAATAATAATAATAATAATAATAATAATAATAATAATAATGCCAATAAAATATCCTAAAAATCTAATAATCACGAACAGAACATTATATTATCTTTAAGACAATATAATGTGATGGATTTAATCGAGAAATAATCATAAATAGCCCAAACTAAGTCAATACCAAGAAATTTCATAAAATCCAAATAATCACAAAAATTCTATTATTTGAATGGGCGCTGCTACAGTCTACCCACCTTAAAAGGAATTCCGTCTTCAAAATTCAGAAACAAAATAACTAAAATGCAAAAGAATACAAAGGGGAACTCAAAACATGAAATTCAGATATCTCCTCCTAATATCGGCCTTAGTCTCCCACGTCGCCTCAAACTCATCATGTCGGCTCCACTGTACCTTCACGAGACTCACTGCCCGGTTCCTCAGCTGATGGACCTTCTGGTCCAGTACGACCACAGATACATCCTCATAGGTAAGGTCTCGCTCGACCTGCAACTCGCCGAAGTCCACCACATGGTCGGGGTCATGCACGTATCTACGCAGCATCGAGACATGAAACACGTCATGCACTCCCGACAAGTCCGGTGGCAAAGCTAGCCGATAAGCCAAGTCTCCGACTCGAGCAAAGATCTCAAAGGGCCCGATATAGAGAGGTCAAAGCTTCCCCTTCTTTCCAAAGTGAATCACACCCTTCATTGGCGAGACCTTCAGAAAGATAGGATCGCCAACTGCATACTCATGCTCTTGCCTCTTCCGATCGGCGTAGACTTTCTGCCTCTCTTGGGTAGACCTGATACTCTTCTGGATCTCCTCAACTTGTTCCGAAGTCCTATGAATGAACTCCAGACCCATGATCTTTCTCTCTCCAACCTCATCCTAATAGAAGGGAGTCCGAACCTTCCGTCTGTATAGATCCTCATACCGGGCCATATTAATCGAGGCGTGATAACTATTATTGTAGGCCAGCTCGACCAATGGAAGTGCTCTCTCCCAAGTTAGGCTCAGGTCCAAGACCACAACCCTTAGAATATCCTCAAAATATTGGATCGTTCGGTCCGACTGACCATCTGTCTCGGCGTGTAAGGCTGTGCTAAACTCCAACCTCGTCCCCATGGCTCAGTGCAAACTCTTCTAGAACTGACCCGTGAACTTTGGTTCTCGGTCGGACACAATCTCCACGGGCATACTGTGGAGTCGAACAATCTCATCTGCGAACAACTCAGCATAATCACTAGCCTTTATAGTCATCTTGACGGGCAAAAAGTGGGCAGACTTCGTGAGTCGATCCACAATTACCCAAGCAGAGTTGTGTCCGGCTCTCGATCTCGGCAATCCCACCACGAAGTCCATGGTGAGGCACCCCCATTTCCACATGGGAATATCAAGTGGCTTCAATAGTCCTCTCGATTTATGGTGCTCAACCTTCACATGCTGACACACCAAACATTGGCTCACGAATCTCGCTAATTGCCTCTTTATTCCTCGCCACTAGAATATCTTCCTTAGGTCTTGGTACATCTTCGTGCTACCAGGATGGATGGTGTATGGGGCACTGTGAGCCTCCTTTAATATCTCTCGTCGCGATTCCCACACCTTCGGAAAACATAGTCTACCCTCGAAGACTAATGCTCCATCGGATGCCACTGCGAAACCTCTAACCTTACTGGCTTCAGCTAACTCCCTCATTCGACGTAGAAACCCACATTCAGTTGCTCGGCGACTATCCTCTCGCGAAGAGTCGGTCCCACGACCAAGGCGGTCAACATAGCCGTCGAAGTCGACTCTACTGCCTCTAACTGTAGCCGCTTGAACTCTTGAACTAAGACATCTTGCCCGGTGAATAGGAAAGATAACTGGCCATGATCCTTCCGACTCAGAGCGTCGGCAACCACATTAGCTTTCCTAGGATGGTAGCGTGGACAACTGTAGCTAATTCAAGATCACGCGTGGGGTAGTTCTGCTCGTGAGGCTTCAACTTCCTCGAAGCATAAGCTACAACTCTCCCTTGCTGCATAAGAACACATCCCAAGCCCATATTGGAAGCGTCACTGTAGATCGTGAACTCCAACGTAGGGTCGAGTATAGAAAACACTGGTGCAGTGGTAAGTCTCCCTTTCAGCTCCTGGAAACTAGCCTCGAACTTCGGACTCCATTCGAACCTCATGGCCTTCTTTGTAAGGTTAGTTAGTGGTTGGACTATCTTCGAGAAGCCCTTGATAAACCTCCAGTAGTATACTGCTAACCCCAGAAAACTTCAAACATCACTGGCATTTCTTGGTGTATCCCATTTTCTCACTGCCTCGATCTTGTCGGGATCTACCTCAATGCCTCTAGCTGTAACAATATGGCCAAGGAATGCCACACGATCCAGCCAGAACTCGCACTTCGAGAACTTAGCATAAAGCTTCTCGCGGCAAAGAGTCTTTAGCACAATTCTCAAGTGCTCCTTGTGTTGCTCGATGTCTCGAGAATAAACCAGGATGTCGTCGATGAACATATAACAAACTGGTCTAGATACTGATGGAATACCCTATTCATAAGGTCCATGAACACCGTCAGAGCATTGCTTAATCCGAACGGCAACACCATAAATTCATAGTGCCTATATCTAGTTCGGAATGCGGTTTTGGAAATATCAGATTCTCTGATTTTTAACGGATGGTAGCCAGACTTCAAATCGATCTTTGAGAAAATGCTGGATCCCCTTAGTTGGTCAAAGAGATCATCAATGCAAGGAAGAGGGTACTTGTTCTTAACTGTAAGTTGATTAAGCTCACGGTGGTCGATACACATGCGCATAGATCCGTCCTTCTTCTTCACAAATAGAACGGGTGCTCCCTACGGAGAAACGCTCGGCCGAATGAAACCGAGTCTGAGCAATTCCTAGATTTGGGCCTTGAGATCTTGAAGCTCCTTTGGCGTCATATGATAGGAGGCTTTCGAGACGGGACCAGCTCGGGATACTAAGTCGATGGTGTACTCGACCTGGAGGTCCGGTGGTCCTCCTGGCAATTGATCTGGAAACACCTCTAAGTAAACGCACACGATGGACAAGCTCTCGGGGGATTACTCAGAATCCTTACCTACCATACTCACGAGATACCCTTAATAACTACCCTTGGAGAAACACTTCATCGCTTTGAGAGAAGGGATGACTCGAGGCACAGTCCTCGGCTTCACCCCAAATAATTGAATAGGCTGATCATCATCCAAAGAAAGAGCAACTTCTTGCACCTGGCACCGAATTTAGGCTCGATAACGAGTGAGCCAGTCCATGCCCAAGATCGCGTTGAAGTCGCGCATATCAATCACATAAGTATTAGCCTCCAGGACTCGCCCACCGATGTTGACTCGAAGACCATGGATCAACGAATCAGAAACAATAATTTTTCCCGAGGCTAGGCTAACCTCGAGAGGATCAACTTTACACACACCACTAATTGACAAAGTCTCTAAGCAACAAGAAGAAATAAAAGAGTGGGTGGCTCCGGTGTCACAGAAAGCAAATACAAGCACATTGGATTTTGAAAGCATTCCGGACATGGCACCTGCGTTGTTTGTCGCCTCGTCATGGGTGATAGTGTAAACTCGGGCCTGGCTTTCTACCCTCTGTTGGTTCTGTGCTCGGGGTTGTCTGGGCTGCTGCTGCTGATGCTGATAAGGTTGCTGCTGCTGGTATGGTTGTTGTCTCTTGGGTTCAGGGCACGCATCGAAGAAGTGGCTAGGGCTCTGACAGTTGTAGCGGACCTTCTGATTGTACCGATAGTCTCCTGGGTGGTAACGACTGTATTTAGGGCACTTCGGATTCTGGCCCTGGGCGACGGGGCGCTCACCACGTCAGTTGTATCCTCCACGTTTTCCCTTCTGGTTATCCCAGTGGGAATCAGACTTTCTCTTACCCAAACTAGAGCTGGGTAGAACAGAGTTAATGGGATGAGCTTGATGAGCGTGCTGAAAAGAGGGAGAGAGAGTATCGGGAGTCTAACAACTCTCAAGCTGAATAGCTAGAATCACAGTTTCGCCATAGAGAAGGTTCCCATGGATAGTAAGGTGCATACGAAGGGTGGGGTGCAGTCCGTCACGAAACTTGGTGGCCTTTTTCAGCTCAGTATCCACCAAGTGAGGAGCAAAAGCACTCATGCGGGTGAAACTCTGCTCGTACTCCTCAACAGTACCGGTCCCCTGACGGAGATCCCAGAATTCGCGTTCCATACTTATACGGTAGCTCTGGGGGTAATACTTCTCAAGTACCACCTCATTCATCCTTTCCCATGTCAGGTTGGCTAGCTCGCCCGGCCTCAGCCTCCAGTAATCGGACCACCACATTGCAGCATCACCATTCAGCTGGCAACGGCCGCAGATAACCTTCTGAACATCAATACACTGAAGGAGATCAAAGTTCTGCTCGAGTTGGCGAATCAGTTCTGCTACGGCTGTGGGCCCTCCAACACCGACGAAAGCCGGTGGGGTCAACCGCCGAAACTGGAGAACCACATTGAGATGGTCATCAGCCTGGTTAGGAACTGACTGGTGAGGTGGAGATGGAGGCGGGGGTGGCTGTTGCTGATTGTTGCGAGTTTGACGTGCCATAGTTTTACATTGAATATGCGGAAAACGATTTAGCACATGATATAACGTTCTAGAGTTCATCATTAAATACTAGAGTTCACATATAACCCAAGGAGGACAGACTTCCTAAGCCCCAATTTATCATATCAACATCAATTAATACATAAGCATCTCAAAATCACTTATGTAATCATACCTGAGTTGGCGCGGCATGACGAAGCGAGTGGTCATAACTACAACATATAATCCTAGTATTTCACAGAGTTCATATAATTCACGTTAACCTGTCTACAGAAACGCAGACCATCTATGATATAACGCCACACTTTGATTTAACGAAAATCCATGACTTTTTAGAAAAAAAAAAAATCAATTTAAATTTTCGAAACTCATGATTTCAAAACATTTGTGGCGTTACTCATTTTTAAAAACCAACATCAACAGTCAACATAATGTCAAACATAAAATCCGCTCCCAAAGCAGGTTTTGTCACAATGTCATCAAGCACCCCAACCGTGTTTCATAAAATTATCACAATATCAAAGGGGCACCTCCCCAACCTTATTTCAAACCATCATAAAATCTTGAATTCGCAAAAATCATAAAATCTCAAATTCATAATATCCTAAGTCATGAAATCATAAAATAAGTTCAGATAGCGGAAGCATAACAATTACTAATTTGGTCTCATAGACCGACCACCACTCGCTCCACTCCACCGTGCCCGCAACCTGATCAACCTACGTATGTGAAGAAACAGGTGGGGGTGAGCACATATGGAATCCATGGTGCTCACCACTATGCAATAAACCTTAATCATAAGATAAAATAGGTATGGTCACAACATGTATATGAAGTAATTATCTATCCCATCTCCCATCATAAAATCATAAAATCAAGACTCATGTGCACACCTACGCATAAACTACTGCCGGTATATATATCGAATGCCCCTCGGGTCTTAAAACGATGCCTAGACAGCAGGATTAAATCCACCCCACCGTCCAAGGCCTCGCCTTGGTCTTACAAACGGTGATCACCGGCCAAAGGACCATGCCCTGGTCTTACGGCCACAAAAAGGAGACTACCCAACGAGTACGTTCTATACCTACGGGGATAACTATTCGATGGCCGGTACAACTCACATCGAAGGCTACATGGTTCACATGCATACATTGATCATACCACAAGCAGTCATTGACAACATTTACGGCATAACAATTTAAATAAAACCCACCTAGTTACCGAAATGGTAGATTCACACAAAGCAAGCAATTAGGTCGAGGATTCAGCTCGTTGAACCTACAATATCAAGATATCCTTATAAATAACTATCCTACACATGAACACATATATAACAAACATTCACTAGATTCAACTCAGCTCATAGAGGTCATATAAGCACGCATTTTAAAACTAAACTCTATTCCGAACATACAACATAAGTTTTCAACACTTAACCCGCGCAGCGATTTTAAAACAAACATAACTTGCAGCACACATGTCATGTAAATGTGATTCCAATTGCAAATAATTCCTAAGACATTCAGATATAACACTTATGAAGACCTCGATAATAGATAAGGTCAATTACCAGGAGACAATTCAACAAACATTTATAACAGAGTTGCAGTCAGAAAACTAAAATTACAGAGCTTCAGTAATTATCATATAACTCATGCTATAGACCTCCATATGACATGATTTTAAAACCAACAGAAAGATAAGAAGTAAGAATACAACTTTCATAAAGACATTAATGGCAAATAAGGGCATTTGATTATGAATTATTCATCATACATTCGAAACATGATTGCAGTCCGAGAACAAATTTTTACATCCTACAGAGCCTCAATAAAACTGGAATATCTCATGCTACAGACATGCTTTTGACTTGATTAAAAAACTAACAGGAAGCTAATACATAAGGCTACATATTTCCTGAAGACCACTTTTTAGTTTGTGTAACACCCCACTTTGATTTTAAAGAAATTCTTGATTTTTTAAAAATCAGTAAATAATTTTTCGAACTCATTTTCGAAAACATGGGCGTTAATTCAAACATTTAACATCAACCAAGTCATATTTGGTTGTTCGTGGATTCATTACCCGGATTCACGTGGTTTTCATTAACCCCTTAAAACATCAATTTCACATGATTATTAGCTAAACATCATAGCATACATAATCGAACACATGATATTCAAGAAGAAAATCCAATATGAATATCCAAACGAAACATTGGTCGAATAATCCCAAAAACCATAAGTTTTGAAAACGGTTCAACACGTCTCAACTAAAAGAAGTTCACAAGGACCACACATTATTCATAAACGGAAGCATACTAATAGAGCATAATAAAAAGACCGACCCACTCGTCTTTCGTCGTCACCCGGCACCTGCTTAACCTGCATCCGTGAAGAGCAGGTGGGGATGAGCACAAGATAAAAATGCGTGCTCACCACTATGCACGTATATCACAATAGTAAATAATGTAAAGGAGGTATGGTTGCAGCATGAACATAAATCAATTATTTTGTCACGTCTCCTAATCACATCACAACATATTACCCACGTGTACACATCTTTCATTAGCCACGGAAAGGGGATTCATTACCCTAACTAATGGGGGTACGTGCCATACAACAAGACACGACCTTTCATTAGGTCTTACGGAGACTTACCTCGCAAGGGTAACCGTATTACATCGACGGGGACAACCGTACCGACGGTCGAATCGGCTCACGCCGATAGGCTACATGGTTTACATGCATACTTAAATCATACCAACCCAACATTAAAGTAAAAACATACGACATAGAAAATTTTATAAGTAAACCCACCTGGTACAGCAAGGGAAATAGCACACAATTAGGAGTAGGCAGCGGGCACGGCTCGTCAAACACCTACAACAGTTAATACACTAAGATCAACACCTATTTGACCTTAGAGAACAAACACAATCATACATTGGTCGAACTTGATTCAACCAAGTAGTTCGTGAAGTTCTGTGGACATTGGAACACTTGGACCTAACACTTAGACTCGACAAAAGCGCATATAAATACCACATATAGACATAGCACGCAAAACAAGGTCAAACGGGTCAAAGACACACACAAGGGTTCGGGAAAAACATAAGGAAGGCTTGGGATGGGCCCGAGCTGCTTGCTAGCCCGGT